TCTTGTGAGTTTTCTTCATTGTTAATTTGTTGATGTTGTTGATGTTGTTCTTGAGGTGGTGAAATTGGAATTTGTATGTTAACTTTTGAAGCTAGGTGGTTAATCATTTTTATCGCATTGTCTAGATTCGTTTCGATTGTTTCCATTTTTTCTTTTAATTCTGACCATTTGTTTTGTTCTTGTTGAGTTTGTTTGGTTTGTTGATTCAAATTTGACTTAAGAACGTTCGCGAATGATCAGTTTTTGGTTACGATATTATTGTGAGTTGGAGTATTTTGATGAGTTGTTATTTTTTTCATTTTTCATTGGACGCGGAAAGCTTTTGAATGATTCTGGTTGAGCTGAATTCCATTTGATCTGTTGTCTGTATTTTTTGGTTTTTTCTTTACATTCAGCGATGAGATGATCTGCCTGATGACAAAAAGTACAAGTTTTTTGGTTTGCTGAGGTCCAAATAAGATTATGATTGCGTAATGAGTAACTAATGTTGAATGCTTCTTCGCTATCCGTTTGGGAGGCAAAAGAGAGGAATGCGATGCCCATTCTATTGTATTTACTTCTTGTACGTGGAATAAAACATGTTTTTGCTTTTGATTCACTTAGTATTTGTTCAAGTTCAAAAGCTGTACAACCAGGTGGAAGGTTGGTAAGTTTGGAGATGAATTGGTTGCGCTGATTATTTATTTCTTGATAATTTTTCTTGGGAATAATTCTGCAACTGTCCTTTTTAATCATAATAGACCAAGTTTGATCTAAGTTGAGGTTGATTTCTGATTCTTCAAATGTCACGTGTGCAAGTTGCCAACCTGATTTAGGCGAGATGGAAATAGTTTTCAGTTTTCCAATTACAGTTACTGCGTTTCTTACTTCTGCGATAGTTGTTCCTAGAGGGATGTCTTTTATTACGATTCCATTGAATGTAGGAATGTTAGTTGATTGTTGATTTGGAGTTAAGATTTGAGCTTGGATGTTGTGAGTCTTTTCCAGATATTTAATTGCATCGTTGCAGAATTTCTCTGAGTTAAATTCTACTTTATAAGCATTTTGATATTTTGTAGAAGGAGGTTTTTGTCCGATGTATCCTGGCTGTTTACATAAGGTAGTGTAAATCCATGATTTTTTCTCGCTATGTTTGTTTGCTGGAACTTGATCATAGCTGATTATGAGAGAGTAACGTTTGTTGCTTGTGATTGTATTCCAGTTATTTTCATTATTTTCATTATTTTCTGTATCAATCATATTGACGCTTTCATTATCAGAATTATTCATGCCATGTTCACTACTGGAATCAAAGGTATCTTGAGTCCAGTCATTTTTTAATTTTTGATGTTGATCATTTGCTGCGCCTTTATCCATCTGTGGCGCAGTAACAGCGAAAAAATTTTTCTCTTCTTTGAACTTAGAGGAGAAAGAGGTGTTTTCTTTAATTATTTCTTGATGAGTTTCCAGATTTTTTTGATTTTTTTTGTTGTTATTATTGAAATTGGGTATGCTAGATTTATTATTGATAGTTTTTTTGGACTTTCCCATGTTGGAGAATGAGGTATATATTGATGAAAATATGGTTGGAGAAATAGACGAGTTTAACTTTGTTTTTTCTTGACTAACGAGTTGTTTGTTGAACTTTTCTTTTTTATTTATTTCAATATTGTATGCTGTAGTGTGTTTTTTACTATTGTATGGTCTTTTTGAGGGAGTTGGAGGTGTTCTATTTTTTTTTTGTAGGTTGGAGTATATTCTTTCCGATGTGTTCGTTGGCGTAGAAGGCTGCTCAACTTCTATTTGTTTGTTGTTGTTGCTTGAGTTTTCGGCAGTGGCTGACTCAAACAAGTATACACTATCTTTTTGAGATGTTTTTGGTGATGTATTTAATTATTTTAACTGGGTTTATTATGTGAACAATAGTTTTTTACTCTTTCTCTTTTCTTAAAAATTGATCGATGAGAAAGAGTTCAATCGTTGAGAAACACTTTCTCCAATTCTCTGGAGAATATTCTATGATTCGCTCTTATGCGAAATACAAGAAAATCATAGAAATGACGGATATACAATCAATAATAAATGGACACCCAATATTAAT